TTTCCTTAAAAAACGCCGCTGAAGGTATTTATTTCTCTTCCAGAAGCTCACGTAACAGGAGAGAGAGAAAAGATTGAATTGTCTTGGTTGGTGTGAGGTAGCTGGGATGGTCTTGAGTGAACTTAAACAGGCACAGAGGGAGGCTCTGTCATCTGGGAAGGAAAGTGAGGTGTTTTACCACAAAACCGCCTTAAAAAGAAGGCAGTAGCATCTCGAGATCGACTGTCTTATCACTGTTGTGTGCCACAGGTGTTGGTTTTACTTTTAAATTTAAGCTCTTTACTGTGAGAGTGGTGAGGCACTGGCACAGGCTGCCCAAAGAAGTAAATGCCCCATCCATGGCAGTGTTCAAGGCCAGGCTGGACAGAGCCTTGGGTGCCATCATCTAGTGTGAGGCGTCCCTGCCCATGGCAGGGGTTGGAACTGGATGATCTTAAGGTCCTTGCCAACCCAAACCATTCTGTGATTCCCCTCTGCTTTGTGAGGTGAAGAGGAATAGAGTATGCGGTGACATTTGTGTTTTGGCATATGTTCAGTACAGCTTGTATGTGAAAAAAAAGTTCACTAATTAAAAAAAAAAAACAACAACAAAAACAACAAAAAAACCCCAAAACCCTACCATTGTAATGTCAGCCCTAGAAGATCACTCAGGGCACCAGATTACTTGATTTCTAACTTCTCTAAGTGGTATGATTCTTAGTTAGCAAAAGTATGAACTGATTGTGTGGCTCATCTAAAACCCAGTATTTGTCTTCCTGAGGCTTAACTATGATGATCTCTTCTCCTAAGTAACAAGTGACAGGACAAGAGGAAATGGGCTCAAGCTGTGCCAGGGGAGGTTTAGACTGGACATTAGGAACAATTTCTTCACTGAGCGGGTGGTCAGACATTGGAACAAGCTGCCCAGGGCAGTGGTAGAATCACCGTCCCTGGAACTGTTCACAAGCTGTGTAAATGAGGCCCTCAGTTACATGGTTTTGTGGTGGGCTTTGCAGTGCTTGATGATCTTAAAGGCGTTTTCCAACGTAGTTGATTCTGTGGAGGATTCTGGCAGAGACCGTGATGTCTAGCAAAGAAAATTGAAAAATGAAATCAGAACTGAGACTGTGTTGGGCATTGTCCAGATGAATGTTTCTGAGAGGTACAGCAAGACATCATGTTATGAGAGAAAAAAAAGGGGATTTCTCAAGTTACCAAGGCTTGATCAGTGCCATAGAGATACCAACAGGATGGCAAACATGTCTGGAGCATGGGTACTATATGGTTTAGTGAGACAACCTCCCTCCTTCACCACCTCCAATCTCTGTGGTTTAAATTAATACACTGCACCAACACCGAGCATCATAAATTAACAGTGATGTTATGGATATAAAAGTAAAAAATACAAAAAAGAAACCCCCAGGGCAACCAGTAGCCAAAAAAAATGATTGTCATGTTGCTGATGGTAGAAACTGAAGGTGAGCAGGGGGCCACAAAGCCTGGCTGAAACAATGGGTTTTTTATGGCTTTGTGGTTAAATTCATCACCCTTCATTCAGCTGAAAGGTGTCTGTATTGCTCAGGCATATTGTAGTCAGGTGTTTAAATACCTTCAAGAAAGCAAATGTCACCTTCAAGCAGAATAGTAACCTGATGTCTGTGCTTTGAGGCTTTTCTTGCAGTAATGGTGGTAGTTGTTGAGAGCTCATGATGTGGGTGAGATACACCTGCAGAGAGTTGATGGGTTCTTAGGGAGAAACCGGCTCTTGAGACTCCTTCATAAATAGTCCTTTAAAGAGTGATATTTGTCTAGTGAAGTTGTAGGATAGGTGTAAATTTAAGCCATTTGGTCAGTCTTGAAAGGAAAAGCGGTTGTTTCTGACCACAGTATCCAAAGTGTAACTAAGTCCAAACTAAAAGAGGCTTGGTTGGGCCCTGTGTATTTCAGGGAGCAGCCAAGCCATGCTGTCTTCATTTAACCTTTGAGTTGCAGCCTTATAGAGCTGATTTTCCTCTCAGATGAGTGCTGTGCTGGATTTGTGTGGCTAAACCTGACTTGTTTATGTGACCTGTATTCAGCGGGGAAAGTTATGTGGAAGGGAGGCACAGGGTCTCCAGATGGTAACTGTGTCCCCCTGTGTTGTGTACCTTGCTGCTGAGAATTTGCAGAAGATGAAAGAAATGCTGAACTTCTAAAACTTGCAGGTGAATGATGATCTGAATATGAGACAGTGTGCCTAACCAGAGGGGGTACTGGTGTTACCTGATATGGAAAAAATGCTCCTAGGAATTAAAAAAATCCATGTTATTTTATTAATGGCACTTTTCTAGAAGGCTTGTACTGCCAGCCAGAGGCTAGAGGAGGAGGAGGAAGACTGATCAAATCCCCTGAACCTTGCCAATCCAGCTGGCTTAATGTACTTTGCTGTTTGAGTACATGATTTGCCTGGTATCACTTGTGCATGCTTTATAACTCACCTAAATGTCCAGTCATCCTGCAGCCTGTTAGCTTCTTATCAGCAGCATTATGTGGTGTAGCCTTTTTGTGTGGGTTGATTTGTTAAAGGTATTTCACTTGATGGGCTCCATATACTCTGCCTGGGAAAGTACCCATAGAACTGGGTTCTATGTGTGTGTGCTCTTCAGTGTTATGTCATATGGCCTTTCTGCTTCCTGTCTTGGCTTTGTTCTTCCTACAGAAGCTTTTGCAAGCTCCTAGACTGTTTTCTCTGCAAGTTTTTTTTCCTGCTGCATTCCTTCATGAATGCCAAGGATGCAGTGTGGCATTCCTTGCCAGGATATATGTCAGTTCTTCTGCTTCCTCTTCTGCCACCTTAAGCCCCTGTGTTTGCCACCTATAGCAAGTGGTAGTTTGTAACCTCTAGCAGTAGTTGCAGCGTTTTCCTTTTCTCCTTGTCCCACAGGAGATATGCACAGAAAAGTGCTGTCTTTGGGCCTGGGCACCTGGTTTTAAGTGTTGAGACACAGGTGATGTGTCTGATGAAGCAATGAAGGAAAGTCTTTTTTGAGTTGGAGCATGTTCAGGCTGGAAAGGACCTTAAAGCTCATCCAGTTCGAACCCCCTGCCATGGGCAGGGACACCTTCCACTAGACCACGTTGCTTAAAGTCCCATCCAGCCTGGCCTTGAACACTGCCAGGAATGGAGCATTCACAACTGCTCTGGCCAACCTGTGCCAGGGCCTCACCACCCTCACACGGAAGAACTCCTTCCTTGTACCTAACCTGAACTTCCCCTGTTTCAGTTTAAACCCATTGATGCAGAGAGTTGACCAATGTACAGGGGGGTTGTACAAGGGGGTTAGAGGAATTTGCTTGCTTAAACAAAAGTACTGTCTGTTGTAAATGCCTGCTAAGCAGAACAAAGGCACCTGGTCCTATTGATAAGGAAAAGCAGACACTTGGTCCTATTGATAAGCAGCTATTGATAAGGAAAAGCAGACACTTGGTCCTATTGATAAGCAGCTATTGATAAGGAAAAGCACAAGCCTGAATCTACTGATAAGTGGGAGAAGCAGATGGTTTATGGCTGGGATACCGACCAAACCCTAAGGCCATATGTGAAGACTGAAAGGTGAAAAGTGCAAGAAGAGGAAGACTCATTTACTTCATCTCGAAGACCCCTACCCACAGGAGGAAGACTCAGTTACTTCATCTTGAGACCCTGCCCATGACCAGAGGGGGCACTGCGCAGGTGCAGAGGACCTCAGAAGCGGGGATAGGACATGAATATGTATAGGCGTGTTGTGCAACCTTATGAATATATATAACTTTAGAGAATAAATGTAGAGGGAAACAACACTGAGGTACGCATGACTTTGAGGAATTATCCCCGTGCGTCTCAGCGCTGAATAAAAAGCATACCTACTTTACAACTTTAACGAGTTGTGGAGTCAATCCACACATCACCATCACGCCTCGTCCTGTCACTTTGTCCCTGAAGAAAAGTCCCTCTCTGTCATCCTTGCAGGCCCCCTTCAGATACTGGAAGGCTGCTCTGAGGTCTCCATTCAGCTCCTCCTCTCCAGGCTGAACAGCCCCAGTTTCCTCAGCCTGTCTTTGTATGGGAGGTGCTCCAGCCCCTGATCATCTTCATGGCCTCTTCTGGACTTGCTCCAACAGCTCCATGTCCTTCTTATGAAAAGAGGTTCTTTCTTCTTATGAAGAGCCTCAGACCCTTAGAGTTAATGGAAATGTACGTTTTCTCAACACTCAGCCAGCAGCTCCAAGCGTTGTCCTCTCAGACTCTTTTCAAGTGAATCTGTGTGAGTCTGGAACGTACCTGAGGTGTTTGACTCAGTTACTGACACGTACCATCTCCCAGATGTGCTGGGCATTAACTTGTTTTCCTGCATAAATGGGATCATTTCCATACATAGCTCAGTATTGTAGCCTCTGACAGTGCAGACAAACACCTAGAGGTATAATCATTCTGGAGTTTCTTCATTTGCATGCTCCCTGTGAACCTGTGGGGTCTGGGGCTGGCAGGCTCCTGCCCTGCAGAGCATTTCCCTGCCCATCTCTTTGCTCTGCAGTCCTCCTTGGACGCCATCCCTGGTGCAGTACAACCTCTAGTGCCATTGCCCTGCTGGACTCCAAGCTAATAAGTAACTGTACATTGTAGCATGATCTGTTTTGTTGGTGTGTGTTAAACGAATGTTACAAATGTGTAACGGAAGTGGGGGTGGGTTCTTGTCTGGTCAAAGTGCTATGACAAAATAACTAGAAAATACTGCTGCTTTTTTTTTTTTTTCCCCCTATTCATTTAAGTTGCATACTTTTCTCTACGCTGTCTTCAGCTTTCACTTCTTCATAATATAAGAGAAAAAAAAATATTTCTTCAGGTCCTTGGCTGGTCAGTTTTCCCTGTGAATCCACTAGACACAGTTTAATAGAAGCTGTTTAATTGTTATAACAGTATCACAGGTAAGAATGCTGAACTTTCCTTTTATCTATTCAATGTGCTTGTATTCTGGCACGTGTTAGTTGTTAATGTGTTTAAGATGGCATTGTCAACAGAAGTGCTTTGGGTATGTCAGGAGCTTAAAAGAGAAGCCTGAGGGAGCAGGCAAAATAGCATAGGATTTTTCCATCACCTTGAGAATATTTTCTCAAGGGGTTTGAGGCACAGATACAGCCAGTGTAAGGGGAACAAGCTGTGTTTATTGCTGCTTGAGTTGTTTGTGAGCATGGCCAGGGAACAAGCAAGGAGTCTCTGTGGCTCACCACTCGTGGTTAATTGTCCTGTCATTCTTCTTGCAGTTGTCAGAGACATACTGGGCAGCATGCTGAGTTTCCCAGTACAAACCAGCCTGCTTTGTATTTCCTGACAGTTTGGGGAGCTCTGGATTTTCCTTTGTCACACCAAGTCTTTCTGGGAGAGGTTGCTAAGTGCCTACTGTCTCTCATGTGCTCACCACATGCTCCTCTGGAATTCTTTTTGACTTCCTCAAGATTTCTCTCATGTGGCACGTAAGCTTGCTCTAAAGCTCGTCAAGATCATGATGTAAGATAGATAGTGTCACCTCTTATGTGAGGATATTGTTGTGAGGAGCAGAACATGTGAGGTGTTCCAACAACAAAACTGTATTTTAAGCATCCCCATTAAGAAGAAGCATCCTTAGACAGTGTTTTATTTATTTTTAGGTTACAGACCCAGGTGTCTGTGTACATGAGGTGGTGGGAATCCTCCAGATAATATTTAAAAAATAAAATAGGCAAAATAATATTCTAAAATATAAATGAGCTTGATTTTAAGAACAAATGAATCTGAGTGCCATGAGGAGAAGAGCATTCCAGGGCAGTACAGTGGCTGGGTCGCAGTTAAAAGTATCTGGTCACCCTTTATCTATTACATGCTGTGAAGCTCTCACAAAATATTTCCTGTTTTGTAGCAGCAACTCGGGCATGAGACTCTCGTGAAACTGCTGGAAGTGTGTAAATAAAAGAAACGGTGGTACTTGGTGTTTGAATTTGTGGACCACAGAGTACTTGGTGACCTGGAGGCATTTCCAAATGGACTAGACTACAACAGGGTTCAGAAATACTTATTTCAGATCATGAGAGGAACAGCATTTTGCCACAGCCATAACGTAAGTATGCACAAGAAGCCAGTTCTGCAGGTAACCTTGAATGAAAAGATGCAGAAGTGTATGATTTTGATATATGTTAAGACTTAGAGAAATAGAGCTTTGGCTGAAAGGGAAGAATCAGGGCAGGAGGGCAGGACTGAATTTCATATAAAATGCCGGAGCTTGATGTCAGTTAATATATCAGTCTGTCTCTGATTGATTTGTGAGAGTGTTTCAAAGGAAGGGTCCAGAAGTCCATGGGGATTCAATACTTGGGTAGCACCTTATCATGGGTTGGCTCATCTTGCAGAGGGAGAAAATAGGGGCTGTTCAGCCTGGAGAAGAGAAGCTGTGTGGAGACCTCAGAGCAGCCTCCCAGGATCTGAAGGGGGCCTGCAAGGATGCTAGAGAGGGATTCTTCATCAGCGACTGTAGCAGTAGGACAAGGGGTAATGGGTTTAAACTTAAACAGAGGAAGTTCAGGTTATATATAAGGAAGGAGTTCTTCCGTATGAGGGTGGTGAGGCACAGGCACAGGTTGGCCAGAGAAGTTGTGAATGCTCCGTCCCTGACAGTGCCCAAAGCCAGGTTGGGTAGAGCCTTGAGCAACATGCTCCAGTGTCAGATGTCCCTGCCCATGGCAGGGGGCTGGAACTGGATGATCTTAAGGTCCTTTCAAACCCAAACCATTCTGTGATTCTATGAGTCTCTCTGTTGAAAGTTGGATTCTGATAGTGTCTATGTAAACATGTAGGCTTGCTTTTTCTCTTCAGTATTTTTAGGTTTTTCTTCTCAACTGGTTGGCAGGTTTGCCAATTTAATCCTAGTTGTGTAACTAGATATATATATAGATACATACACATTTATGTATTTATTTATATGTTTGGGAACCTATTTCTCTTATGAGTGCCTAAAATACTCTTAATGTTTAACTGCAGGACATGCTCATGGCCTTTGCAATACATACGGCTTTTAAACTTGTGGTCAAGGCTAGATTTTCAAGCATAATAAATTGTGCCTGTTAAAATATCTATGGTAAATACACCTGCATAGAGATATATGAAATAAATGTTTCTGTGTGCAAAAGTTAGAGGTTCTATACTTACCTATCTAGGGTCAGCAACTGTTCCTTGACTAAGTGAATGTAGCTGTATTTTACAGACTCCATATGTTTCTCGTGCCTGCAAAAATAGGATTTTTCTCCCTACATGTGAGAAAGCTAGTGGTTTTGGTGACCCAGTCCATTTACTGTTTAGAAAGGGGGAATTTATTTGTCTTGTTTTATTTCCATGCAGATAATCCATTTGGATATTAAGCCAGAGAACATACTAGTTTCCCAGTCGGGAGTTGTAAAACTCTGTGACTTTGGATTTGCCTGGACCTTAGCAGCTTCTTGGAAACCTTACACAGACTATGTGGCAACCCAGTGGTACAGAGCTCCAGATCTGTTGGTGGGAGACATCAAGTAGGGCAAGTAAGACTGGCATGTCAGCCTGTGGAAGGTTTGTGGAGTTTATGGAGGGGTTGCTCTGTTTTTTTGGGTTGCTCTGTTTTTTGGGGAGGCAAGGGACTGTTGCTTGGCAGATAGGTTAAAGGGTTGGAACAGGTTGCCCAGAGAAGTTGTGAATGCCCAATCCATGGCACTGTTCAAGGCCAGGTTGGGCAGGGCTTGGAGCAACCTGGTCTAGTGTGAGATGTCCCTGCCATTGGTAGGGGGTTGGAACTAGATGATCTTAAGGTCCTTTCCAAACCAAACCATTCTGTGATTCTGTGCTGTTCAGCATTCCCTGATTATTCCCTTGTAAAAGTTGAAGCTTTCCGTTATAAAGGTTGAAGCTTTCCTCCTTATTCTCACACTCTGCAGCTAACTCCTGCCAGTGCTAGGCTTTCCTGACTCAAAAGGCAAGGGAGCCCTTGGCATTCCTGGTCTGTTGTCTGTAGGAGCTTTTCAGTTGCCAGTGCTGGTACTGGGGAGCCTGTGACTGCTGCGCAGTTGGAATTATGGAGGGAAGGTAGAAAAGTCCCTCCAAACAATTTCAGACAGACATTTTGGGAGATAGGATAAGATTTTTCTTATTGAGATCCCCAGTGTCACATAACCAGGTCAGAGCTTAAACTGTGTGACCCACAGGTCTCTTAGTATGATTGTGCACGTTTATGTATGTTCCTGTATTACCTAAACCTAGCTGGGGTGGTGTTTGTTTTTTTTTAATTTCCAGGGATGTCGATGTGTGGCCTATTGGCTCTCTGATAACAGAAATGCTCACAGGAGAGCCCCTTTTCCCAGGAGATTCAGACATTGACCAGCTCTACCATATCACCAAATGCCTGGGTAAGAATAGCCTGTCAGGATCCTCATACCTGTTTACTAATGGAGGGGTCAGATACATTTTGATGGGGGGAAGGAAGGTGTTGGGGGAAAGGCTGTTTGTGTGTGCTGAACTGTCTCTGAGAGCATGTGCTCTTAGCACCGTTTACAAATGGGGATCTAAGAATTCATGAGTACAGTATCAATTCATGGCAGACTATAGCCCTTAAGGGTAGTGCTGGCAAAGTGTTCCAGCTTCTTAAATGTTTCACTGGACTGTCCTGTATTTCTTCTGTGATGGTTGCTTTGTTTGTGTGATTCCAGGTAATTTAATTCCAAGACACCAAGAGTTATTTTATAAAAATCCCCTCTTTGCTGGCATGAGGTTGCCTGAAGTGAAGGAGGCCAAATCTCTGCACAAACGCTATCCCAAGCTCCCTGCTTCAGTGCTAGATTTAGCCAAGGTAATTAACTGGTGGTTTACTATGAATGTTTCTCTGTTTACTTGTCCTTGGGAAGCAGAACACAGCCTACAGAAAGAGCTGTGGCTGTTAAAGTGGCTTTCTCTCAACTACCCATGCATGATCAACTGTTTGGGTTGGTGGCTTAGTGGGGCTGCAAGGTTACAACAGCAACCTTCCTGGGTGACTGGCAAGACTAAGCCAGCCATATCCAGAGCCAAAATGGTCAGTGCATATCCTCCAGGGAGGATTTGTAGCATATAATGCCCCACTGATCAAGTTTTCCAAGGAGATTTAAAAGGTAAAGAAGGACTGGTGTGTTGAAAGCATCATCTGACTCATCTCCCAACAAGCTTTGCCCCTCATCTGCTACTTAAGTGGGTGTTTTGTAGATCATAAGCTTACTTGTTACTGGCTAGCAGAGCTGTGTGGAAACAGTGTTTTCTGACAACCCTACCTCTGCTTGCTGATGGAGGTACTGCAAGGAAGCATGCTTGCATCCCTTGCTGGTGGAGGGATGCGCCTGCTTGTGTGCAAGTTAGGAAGCCTGTAACTTTGGAATAGACTCATATCTGTGAGGGAAAGAAAGGAAAGGGAAGCTTATAATGTCTGCAGCTGAACCAAACTAACAGTGAAAATAGTAATTAGAGAAAGCACATTTGTCCATGTTTCCCACATGCAAGCGCAAGCTCCATCTTCAGCTTGAAATTCCTGACATTTGCACTGTGGAATAGATTTGAAAGAGGAGATTCAGCACTTTGAGGGCAGTGTCAACAAGAAGCAAAGACAAGTTCCAGATAACTGAATGGGGGCACACGGACACTCTTATTGAGGCATGTAGGGCTGCAGGAGCAGAAATCCCAGTCTGTTCTTCAGTCCTCTCTTACTGTAGCCAGTCTTAACATCCCTTGAGACCAACTTTACCTCACCCTCTGGTAGTTCTTGTGCCTTGCTATGACCATCCCTCTATTTCCCTTTGTCCTGGGTTCAGCAGTAGCTATCATTTTTTCTCCTTCTTAATAGCTGATGTAGCGCTGTGTTTTTGACTTTCGGCATGGGAACAGCGCTGATAACACAGATGGTTTTAGTTACTGCTCAAATGTTTAGTCTGACCAAGGACTTAACTGAGTCTCATGCTCTGCCAGGGAGGAGGAGAAGCTGGGAAGAAGCAGAGACAGGACACCTGACCCAAACTAGCCAAAGAGGTATTCCATACCACAGGATGTCATGCCGAGGATGTAAACTGAGAGTTACCTGGAAGGGCTGGTTCACTGCTCGGTCGGGCTGGGTGTCGGTCAGCGGGTGGTATTGTATTCTCTTCCCTTGTTATTTCCGTTATCATTATTATTATTGGTGGTAGCAGTAGTAACTTAGTTACTGGACTGTTCTTACCTCAACCCATGGGATTTACATTCTTTTGATTCTCCTCCTTATCCTGGTTGCTGGGGGAGGAAGTAGGCGAGAAGTGAGCGAGCAGTTGCGTGGTTCTGAGTTATTGGCTGGGCTTAAACCACAACACTGGTTTACTTGGACAACTATTTCTAGCCCCACTGTTGTTGAAACACAGAAGTTACCCTCATAAAAAACTGCAGGAATTTAAAGAAGATGCATGCCAGTAATTCTGGTGGTGTTACAACCAGTCCGTACCTTGTTACTGGGTGTGATGTTGAAAATGAAAGCAATGCTGAAGGAGGGTTGTAGCTGAAGGGTTAGACCTACAGGGCATTCAGCTGAAATGTAGCGTTTCAAGTTCTCAAGGGAGCAGGGAAGATGAGTTGTGGGAGCTGGAAGAAGTTCCAACAGTAAAAGCAATTAAGTAAACAGTGACAGAGGTGGTGTGAGGCATTAAACAAAACCCAAAACCAACACCAAACAAACAGAGCCCCCCAACCTGACATGCAGTAAGAAAGTCTAAGGTAAGAACATAGACTAACTCAATGCAAATACCAGTGGAAAAACTTTTAATACTTATCTATAAAGACTGCAGGAAAGCAATTAAAAACATCTTTTTCGTATATAATGTAATGAAAAGTGTAAACAATGGAATCGCATTATCTTTACTTTCAAAAAAACCCTGAATTGGTATTCTTGAACTGTTTGAACTAGGAGGTACATGTTCGTACTTGTAAATAGAAGTGGTAAGTCTTATAGTAGTGTAAATATATACTAACATATACTGTAAAATAATATGAATAAACTATACTAATTGAAATGTAAACCCATGCTAAGTGTACCCTCTTACAGAACTGTAACATACATTACTAACACTAATGTAATTCAAAGACTTCAGTAAGGGCTCCTTACGACGTATGTCTTGACTATGGCTTAGAAAAATACAATCTCTTTAGCTGTAGTATTGTATCGTATCCTAACCTATAAATCCTTGTATTACTATCATAGTTGATCTTATTTGTTCTTTGGGGTTTGGGGTTTTGCTTTTTATTCTAAATGACCGATACTAAATTTGCAAACTATGTCCCCGTTTATTGTGGGTGGACTTCAAAAGACTCAGAAATTCCTAGACCTCATGTCAAGCAGCCTGGTGAATGCCAGTCATCTAGGACAGGTCTCCTGGATGCTGAAGACATGGACAGATTTCTCAGTCAGACCTAAACCAAATTCTTGCACACTGGGATGGGCAGATGGGCACTCTGTGAGATTATCTGGTCCTAGATCACAATGCTGTTAAGCCAAGCCAACAAAGGCTTCCCACTAGCGTAACAGAACATAGGTTTCAGTTCAGGTCAGAGCAAAGACATGAGAAAGTCTCATTTTCCAGTTGCCTTGGGCTACTGACTTTGGTTTCAGCACTGCTGCATTGCTCCATGTCACGGAGCTTCATAAGAAATGGATAGGAGAAAAATCTCAGGGCACTTAAAGAGTAGTTTAAAATACCAACTTGGATACTACATCAAAACAAGTTCTTGCCTTCGATCCCAAAGAAATTAGATAAACATAACTAAATGCTAATGAAAGTTATAGCCACTTCCTGAAGATCTGGCTCAAACTGCCACAGCGGCACCGATTCCAAAGAAGAGGATATTTTGTATCAGCTGGGGACTTGGCCTGACAAAGGTGAAGGCAATCCTTTTTACGCATCAAGAAAAGAGGAGGAGTCAACAGAAGGAGAGAGGTCTTTCAGATGATCCAGGCAGACAACTTCAGTTGTCCGCAGTCCATGAGCAGCCTTCCAAATTGCCACTGTGCCGTTTTTACTTACCCCTAGTGGTGCTGTTTCTTTTGCAGGAGCCTCCTGAATCTGTGCTCTTTCCAAGGTAGCATCGGAAAGAGCGCCCTCTTCCTTCTTGTCCCCAGCTGAGCTCTGCAGGAAAAGGGGAAAGAAGTAAATCAAGAGCACTGCCAGGGATGGAGCATTTACCACTTCTTTGGGCAACTTCTTCGGGCAACTTCTTCCAGCGTCTCACCACTCTCACAGTAACGGACTTGTTACTTATATCTAAGCTGAACTTCCACTGCTCATGTTTAAACCCATTGCCCCATGTCCTGTTGCTAAAGTCCCTGCTGAAATGAGTGGTTTTGTATGCAACAAGATTTATCAAGAATGATTTTAAAATTTATTCTGCAGTTGATATTTTTCTCTAGGTACAAATTTAAAAATAGAGTGTTTGCAAGGACTTGCATTGACTTTCAGTGGATGAAAGTATAAAATTCAACTCCCTAAATCCTCCTAATCTCCATACATACACATCTATGTTGATTTAACTACCTACACTGTCAAAAACTTCATACCCTCACTTGAATTGAAGATTATTACACTGTCAGGCTATGAATCAGCATACCAGGACATGTAACATTGGTTGGGACAACCAAAATCCACTCTCTGCCTCTTTCATTAGGTGCCCTTGAACTTTTTCGTGACTTCTATCAATGATACAATGCAGTGCTTCCCTCCCTCCCTGACCCAAAATGTAGAAAAGATACAACAACTCAGTTGAATTACCAAAGGCAAAAATTAGTCAGCTTTTATAAAGCAGTATCATTACAGTACTAGGGAGAGTCTTTTTCTGTTCAGTGGTTGTAGTTTTTTGTAACGTTAAAATTCTTACGATGAAAAGAAGAAAATAATAAAGAGGGGGGGAAGCGTTGGAATTATGTCTTATTGCTGTTTATTCCTGGAGCAGGCTCTGAAGTCCATAAGCAGCTCTCCAAAATGCCACTGTGCCAGCTTTGCTTACCCCTAGCGATGGTGTTCCTTTGTCAGGAGCGACATGAATCAGCGCTCTCACCAAGATAACTGGGAAACAGCGCCATCTTCCTCCTCACCTATGCTCTGCCAGGAAAAAGGGGAAAGAAAGAAAAAAGAAAGGAATGTCTTCCCTCCTCTGCTAACCACAATCTATACCAGGTGCTCTACTGCTTCGTGCAGAGCTGAGGGCAGAAAATGGTCTGCACAAAGTAAATAGAAAAATCGAAGCAATACAGGATACTTCTAGATTCAGGGAACACTGACGGTATTCTTTGGAAGCTGTCCTTTCCATACCAAAATCATCATGTCACAAGCTGAATGAAAAATGGTGGGAAGGGAGATCTCCAGAAGCTTCTGAGGTTGAAGAGCACAATGACTCCCCACCAGTTCTCCCAGGACATGGTCAAATGGAGCTGGCCTTGACATACAGCAAAGCTCCAGGAGAAGCTGGTGACTTCAGCCAGGTGGTGTAAACGGCAAGGAGAAGCAAGACACGCCAACCCAGTATGGGTGATAAGCAAACTTCTACTTTATTTGTGGCGCACTTCGCTTAAATCCGCGTGGTGTTTAGCCACGCCTACTAGTCAGAACAGTATTGGTTAGTTCTACACAGCTTCCTTCACATTCTCCTCCCACATCCGGTATCCGGTTACCTGTGAGGCCTACCCCTTGCCTTGCTCGCACAAGGCCTCTAAGGCTCCATGGCCTTGCTCTTAGAGCCATTCTGCAACAAGGTGGAGACTTGGATGCTGGAGCAGACCCTGCACCAGCACAGCCCACCTCTTGCTCAGCTGGAAGTTTAGCATGAAGTTAGACCTGAACTGCCTATGAGTTGCGTGAGGTTACTAGTCTTTCAGGATAATTCAAATAAACTCCAAGAAAGAAAAAAAAAAAAGAAAAGGTATCTACAGTCATACAAGGTAATATTTTTCAGTAATTTGTTTGTATAAAGATGATACAAACCAGCTAGAACAGAGCAAGAAGAGGCAGTGTCCAAAGCACTCAGATACTGCACAGTGCTTGAAACAAGACTCTGTTGGGGGATAGCAGGGTATTAATGAAGCAGAAATTGCTTCTGCTGTTGAGTT